GGCCTCCATTGTCTATGGCGGGCAAGAATGGCCGGTTACTACTGTGACCCTGACAGGCGTCCGGCCCGTATGCTTTTCCGCGAAAGCATTGCTCAGTACATTGATATACTCAAACAACAAGATTTTGTTCCGGAATGGCTCTCCAGGGTTGAACCCCTGGTGAACCTGAAGAAATTTTAGCACTGTAATCACTAATAGTACCGCGACTGTTTTGTCATCACTTCTGTTTGTATGTTACTGTTAACAGTGACTTATATTGATGTGTGTACCTTGTGCAAAACCGGTAATAAAGAAAAAAAAGAGGTAGTTGTGGCGTAGTTGGATAAAGCAACACAACTGGTGTGGTCGGTGGTTCAAGTCCCATTGAAGTTATTGATACTTTCTCTTTTTTCTTTTTTTCTTCACGCATGTATTGTTTTAACATTTGCGCCTCCTCATCAGCCCGACTTGCTGCTGGTGGTGGTCCCGTTCACAGGCCCTTTAATATTGCATCTTCGATTACTCTTGCAGGATTGACTATATTTATTATGATAAAGTGTTTTACGAATTAGTGCTCTTAATCGGCGAGACGCAAAAAGACACAAAAAAAAACTCGAATGCAGCTGGCTGCATTGGTTTCTTCGGCAGAGGAGTCAGGAATGTTGATTTCCACGGTTTATCAAAGTTTTGATGACAGAAAGGTGCACTGCAACGTAGTCTCGGGCAACTTTTTTATGTCGCTTAGTGTACCATCACCTGACGAGGTAACCGGCAGGCCGCTTTCTTTAAAAATACTGACGTGTCACCGCAATGTTCTTGGCGATCGGCACTTGATAAAGAATGCCCAAGGGCAAGTGCCGACGGCGTTAGCCCATCTAACTACAAAACAGCTTGTCTGCCTTGCTCAATAACACGCGCGGCCTGTGACAGCACGGGAGCATTCACGTAGCAACGGATGAAAACGGCCGTACGTGTTCGCACTTGACAAAACAGACGGCAATGCAGTAGCTGCCCCGCCGCGGTGGTCTAGTGGCTAAGGTACTCGGCTGCTGACCCGCACGTCGCGGGTTCAAATCCCGGCTGCGACGGTTGCATTTCCGATGGAGGCGGAAATGTTGTAGGCTCGTGTACTCAGTTTTGTGTGCACGTTAAAGAACCCCAGGTGGTCGAAATTTCCGGAGCCCTCCACTACGGCGTCTCTCATAATCATATGGTGGTTTTGGGACTTTAAACCCCACATATCAATCAATGCAGTAGCTCTGGCCTTCGGAGATCACAGGCTTCGTAAGAACATTACAATAAAGTTGTTTCTATCCATTGTATGAACACTTCGCCGACGCACTGGGGTTTCATGCATGTTCGTCCGGTCAGTCACACGTGAACTGTGCGAAAGCATTTATTTCATCGTCGACCTTGTCCTTTACGACAAGCAAAACTCGGCAGCAAGAACACTTTCACCTTTGACAACACCACGTTTGGCATTGCAATCTAGAAAATGCAGTACGTCCAACAACTGTAATCCGCACATCATACTGAGAAACTTTATGGCGCAAACACTCAGATGACGCTGTGGCGCAGTGGACGGCCGCGCTAGCTCCAACCACCAGGTTCAACTAAGCATCCAGCAATCACATGAAGCAGCGACGACACTTCAGTCCTCCTTGGGAGTGGCCTAGGCCATGGCCACGATTTCATCGGAGTTTTCACCACCTAACACATCGCAGGCGGCTACCATCTCGCAGTGTTTACTTTTCGCAGGATGGATGGATGGATGGATGTGGCTGTACCCTTTAGATCAGGCGGCGGCTAACGCCACCTAGCCGTAATACTTAGTGAACTAACCATTACATTTATCTTTTTTTTTTCCTTTAAATAATGAAGTTGAGGATTCGTACTTCGCAGTGAAGGGTTTAATTTTCACTCGTGCCTTGACTTTAGCCACCAATCAGATAACCTCCTTCTAGTTAAGTCTACCCGCTTAAAGTCTATTTTGCCCTCGCTGTCCCTAAATCCCAGTGCTTTGAAAAACTCTGCGCCATCATCCTGAACTATAGGGTGAAGCCCTTTACAGAACATTATCAAGTGTTCGGCAGTTTCTTCTTCCTCTCCACACGCACTGGATACTGTGTCGACCCCTTCGTATTTGGCCCGATATGTCTTGGTTCGCAGTACTCCCGTCCTGGCCTCAAACAGTAGAGAACTACCCCGAGTATTATCATAGATCCTTTCCTTGGCAATTTCCTGCTTAAAAGTTCGATAGATCTCTAGTGCGGACTTCTTAATCATGCCCATTCTCCACATGTCAGTCTCCGTTTCCTTCACTTTTTTCTTAACCGATTTTTGGTTTGGCCACCTGCTGTTTTCTAAGTATTTACCAGTCAACTTCCTGGTTCGCTTCCTCCATTTTGTATCGACATTCTTCATGTACAAGTAGCTGAAAACCTTCCTAGCCCAACGCTCTTCCCCCATTTCTCTCAATCGCTTCTCAAATTTTATCTTGCTGCTAGCTTCCCTGCCCTCAAATGATGTCCATCCCATATCACCTTGTACTCCCTGATTTGGAGTATTCCCGTGAGCTCATAAAGCAAGCCTACCTATTCCACGTTGCTTAATTTCTAATCTTGCTTGAACTTCTTATCTCATGCACAACACCCCATTGCCAAACGTCAGCCCAGGAACCATGACCCCTTTCCATATTCCTGTCACATCATACCTATTGTAATTTCATAGTGCCCTATTTTTCATCACCGCTGCATTCCTATTACCTTTAGTCGTCACGTATATTTCGTGTTCCCTTAGTTACTCGGTCCCATTGCTTATCCATACACCCAGAAATTTGTATTTATCTGTTATCTCTAGCGTGACCTCCTGTATTTTAAGCTCACTACCTTCGTTGTCATTGAAAATCATGACTGCTGATTTTTCCCTACTGAATCTAAAATCTAACCTATCTCCCTCATTACCGCAGATGTCCATCAATCTCTGCAAATCTTCCTTGTTGTTGGCCATTAGCACTATATCATCTGCGTACATTAATGCTGGTAGTGCCTGATCAATAAGTTTTCCTTGTTTGACTAAAGAGAGGTAGAAGCCCAGTCCACTTCCCTCTAATTTTGCCTCTAATCCTTGTAGGTACATCATGAATAATAAGGGTGACAGGGGGCACCCCTGCCTAAGCCCCCGTTTTACCTCTGCAGGCTTGGATACCTGTTTTTCCCACTTTATAACTACCTTGTTACCTTTATAGACACCCTTTAAAAGATTAGTGACTACATGATCCACGCCTAGTGTGTCCAGTATTCCCCACAATTCCTCTTGAACCACGCTATCGTACGCTCCCTTGATATCCAAAAATGCTAGCCACAGGGGCCTGTGTTCTTTTCCTGCTATTTCGATGCACTGCGTCAGTGAGAACAGATTGTCTTCCAACCTCCTGTGTTTCCGAAACCCATTCTGCAGTTCCCCCAGCACCCCCTCATCCTCTATCCACGCCTGCAGTCTTTCCTTTATAATCTGCATCGCCAGCCTGTAGACCACTGATGTCACTGTTATAGGACGGTAGTTGTTTATGTCAGCTTTGTCCCCCTTTCCTTTATAGATCATGCTCATCCTGCTAAGTTTCCATCCATCGGGAACTTCGCCATCGATTATTATTGTACTCACTGCCTCTCTCAAAGCCTGCTTAGACTTCGGACCTAATGTTTTTATCAGCCTAATTGGAATGCCATCTGGGCCTGTTGATGTACTACTAGGAACCCTTTTCTCAGCCCTTTCCCACTCTTGTTGTGAAAATGGAGCCATTGCACCACTTGATTCGTCTTTGTCTATTGTGGTGCATAAAGTACTTCTTTGATGAAATTTTTCTGTCACCCTTGTTCTTATATATTCAATAGCTTCGTCCCCTTCTAGCCAAGCACCTTGGGCTGTAGTTATAAAGTTCTGCTCTAGGCTCGTATCATTTCTTAGGGAGTTTAGATGGTTCCAAAATTTCGCAGCTGCCTTTCTATCTTTTTTATGTACTTCTGCCAGCCACTGAGCTCCCTTCCTTCTAATCTTTTCATTGATCAGAAGGGATGCATCCCTTCTACAGCTTAGAAAGATTGCCCATTTTCTTTCCACATCATCTGTCGGTTCACCCCGCTGCTTAGCATGTCTGTGTTCCCTAGAGGCTTCCTGACGTTTTGCTATGGCTCTCTTAACTTCCTCATCCCACCAACTTTTGGGTTTGTGTCTTCTTTTCCGGGGTGACTTGTCACGCGTCTTAGCAAGCTCTATCTCAAAGAGTCTTAGATTCGTGTATGTCCACACTGTCTTATTATCCTCCGTGATTAATTTCTCAATTTGTTTAGATTTAAAGTACTTGTAATATGCATTTAAATAACAAACCTAGGCTAATTGACTTGTTACACACCTGTTTAGTAAAATTTTTTGTAGGTTTAACGCATTACACACAAATAATTTACACAATTAACTAGCTTTAGGTAATAATTTTTAAAGTGACATTCTTTATTTGCGGTGCAGAAGCCACTTCTGTGTGGAGTGGCTGCTGCAAGGCGCGGCGCAGAAGACGCTGTTTTTTTTTAAACATGCCTAAAAAGCTAAGTGTCAAAAAAAATTAAAACATATGTGCATTATAGTCACTCCCACGTTCCCTCGCTGCCTAAAAATAATAAACAGGTGCTTTAGTAGCAATAACAAAACGCACGGCTACCAGCGACCACAGCATTACGGCGCTAAGGGCAGGCGCCACCACCTTCTGCCCTGAGCAATATGACCGCCGCGGCTTCACTTTGATACATTGGCAGGTATGCAGGACCGCTACTCCAGAAGTTTTGTATAGCCTCCTTGGGGTAGAGCAAGGAGGTTATACTAAAACTAACCTCCTGGGCGGGACCGCCACTCCAGAAGTTTTAGTATAACCTCCTTGGGGTAAAGCCACATCCATCCATTCATTCATACAGTTTTACCTTCTTGGTCCCGCCGTCGAATTGCTATAGACATTAATTGCAAAATGGCGGCGCGCATCGAACGCATGAATGTCGTATGTCGTTGTGAACTTGCTTGCAAACTCAAAGTCAGGGACTGCTTGATTTTGTGATGATCGTGACAACGAAATTAGCTGCCTGAATTGACTGTATTGTAAAGTGCTGATCATGGCCGGCGTCGAGCAGTGGGTGAGCGATCAGCTGCACTCCATTCTGGGGCTAAGCGATCGCTATGTCGCTCAATTCCTCGTCAACATGGCCCAGAAGAGCTCCTCTCGACAGGACCTCGTTGAGAAGATACGCGACACAGGTACCATTTCGGTGAACGACGATGTCATCGGATTCATGGGACAGCTGTGGGACAAGGTTTGTAACGTGACGTCTTGAGCATCCCATGTCTATGGAAGTCGCCCAGAATTCGGTTTCTTGACGACACATTGAGCGATAACACAGCTGCCCTTTCACTGGCGTTGACACCTGAACTGAGTGCCGTTCTGTGTACTCGCGGGATAAACGCATGTCGTAGTAGAGGCATTAATGGCGCATGTCGTGTTGCTTAAATACATTTTTAAGATGTGTTTGATCCAAGCAGTCTGTCTTCGCTCACGGCAACCATCATTAGATACTGCGTCATTATTGCATGCGAACAATAAAAAAAAAAGGACAGCAGGACCCTTTAATCCGTTCCGTATCACCACCTTAAGCATGCGGGGGAAAAGAAAGTAAGTGGTTTAGCACAACTGAAGTGTTGTACTAGGCCCTTTTCCCAAAACACCCGCGTTGGAACGCCATTGTACTAGGCCCTTTTCCCAAAACACGCACGTTGGAACGCCAACATGACGGGACGCAAGCTTTGTGATGTCGCTGTAGTGTTGTCTGCGCATCGCATGCTGGTTGCGTTCTTGTTCATGCTTAGAGGCCCAATAACGTTCCACTGACTAAGTTATCACGCTGAGGCAGGTTAATCGCCGCGTGATTATTATATGCGCGTGAACGCCCCTCCCCCCAGTCACCTAAAAAGCGGAGAGATGCTGCGACGGACTCCCCCCCCCCCCCCCCCCCCCACTCACATGGTTTCCTAATAATACACTTGTGGACTCTGGCGCTAGTGTCTAGGAGAGCTGCAATGCGCACACTTCAGGCAGCATCATGAGTATGGTGGGCTTAGTGCACGGATTTGACTAGTCTTCGTTATTTCAGCTCCTTTTGCCTCTGCATGGCCAGAATCCACTTTGCTGCACGACGCAGTTCATCTAAGGTTCAGCAGTCATTCTTCACCACGTTAGCTTTTTTGGCTCACGAACTTCAAATTGGCTCACGAAGTTCACCCCGGTCCTTTCTTTTATTCGAAGCAAAACCAAAACACAACAATAAACGAATTCATAAATTTGTTAGAGTCCCACAAGCACAAAGACTAAGGAAATCCATGTACTACCAATCATTTCCATAGTGGCTGAACGATCGCAGTGCCAGAGTCGCCTCTCTTTAACTTTAGGAAGTTCAATGGAATATATGGTTTTTACATGATCTTAAACGCCATGTTGTGAGTCCATGAGGTTGCATGCACGATATCAGTAGGATAAAATGGGCACCAAGGTTGGTCTGTAAATATGCAAATTTTAGATGCACACAGGTCAGGTGGGAAGTGAATATTCAAAATAAATAGAAAACTTAGTTGCCAGTGGGTTGTTACACATGGAAAATTGCGAGTGGTCTCGCACTTAAAGGGCACTCCTATTGAACAAGCACTCGGTTGCCAGCGCACCGAGCTCTTGCAGGAAGTGCAGTAGTGGTACATCGATACTTGTTTCTCTTTTCATGACATCTCATCTTATACTTTGGGATCTGAGTTGTCTTAATGATGGCACAGGGGAGCTTTACAGATGTACTCCTACAAGTGTTGTGGTTCGGGCTACTTGGTTTTTATATTTCAGAAAAATTTACTTCTGCATTTGCCAAAAAATTATATTCTGCTAGATAAAAAAGGTAGGCTCCTGAGAACACGTGGGCCAAAGAAGTCAGCTAGAACTTGCTGCTCACTATGAATGATGCCATACATCCTAATTACCTTGCTGTATACCCCAAGTCTACGGCTGATTTTATAATAATGAGCTTAATAGCTAGTGTGGCTGCCACTTGCCCTTCTGCACGCTTGTGATCACCCTGAAAGAAAAAAAAAAGTGCCCAAGTTCATGACATGCGCTGACCCAGGGATTCATCTTCCTGCCATCTTGTGATTGCCCTCTTTGCCCAGCTTCCAGCACGTTTGCTGGTATGAAATGAGGGAAAGTGATCAAGGCATGGAGCAAATATCTGTAACTTCCATCTTATTTGACAGTTTCTGAAAATTCTTTTTGACAGTTGATTCAGGAGGCACAAGTAGTTTCAGTGATGCCATTAGACAATTACTGGGAAAAAGTGTTGCAGGGCCCCTCTAAAAAACGTGGCACTGTTTAAATTGTATTTTCATACATCTCTGTGTGGTCAAATATTTCTCGATAGAGGGAATGGACTTGAGTAGGGTAGATAGCTGGGGGGCAGTTGGTGCAACACAATTGCAGAAATGCATGTCCAGCGCTCAGTTGAAAAGTGAACAAAAAGACGAGATGGGCATCGCCATGTGTCTCACCTGATTCTTTGCCCTTCGTCTGAGATCTGAATGTTCATTTACGAATCGACCAAGAGGAGGAGTTTACACAAGTGTGGCATAGCCCAACTTTGTCTGACCAAAAGCCAACTGCCACACTTTCTGTACCTCAGCCTCATTCAGGGAGCTTGCATTTGGAGCACTCTCTTGGCGTCATCTACAGTACTCACAAATTGAAACGGGTCAATTTAGAGCCAAGTAACGTGCTTCCACCATCTTGAGTTCGGGGCATATCACTGTAATGTTGACTCGAGCTCATAGATCCAGGGGGTGCAACAGCTGTGCAAATTGTGTCAATTTGATACAATTTCTGATTGTTGTGCTGAGCTGCGCCAAAACCGTAAAACTTGCTGTAATTGCACCACGCTGCGCCAAAATGTGCAGCCAGCCTCAAAATTTTTTCAGATGCGCTAATTTTGGCGAGGAATGCAAACCCAATTGGCCACCTGCAGTTTGCACTATCCGTCGAAGTGCACAGACCCCAACTATAGTGCCTAAAATGTACTTAAAATATGACAAGATAAAGTAACAATGCTGCGCCCATCGGTTTGTTGACCGCAGCGGATACCTATTGGCGCGACGGCGAAACTTCAAGACAAAAATGCATTGCTGTTAACACCAGCGAATCGCGGGAAGTGTAAATTTCCTACCCTGAAAACGCGGTTATGGCTTGTTAGGAACTAAAGCTGGAAGCATTTGCAGCGTTTTCCTCGTGCCAACAAGCTCGACATACTGCGAATGCCGGGGTTTCCAATGACCACGTCGATTGCCTTAGCAGTGGCACCTAAAACATTTGTTTTGTTGTGAAGTTGCGTAGCCCGGGCCGCGGTCCTAACGATAGATAGATATCCAGTACCATCGCCGGACCAATGGGCATGTGACATTGTTACTTTACTTGGCTGAATGCTCTTTGCAAAGGAGCCGAATCGGCACCAACTCGCCTAGTAAAAAAGGGGGGGGGGGGAATGGGGGGTATGTAGCGGTTAGAAAATTTCTTGGCTTTGGTTTTAACCTGTGCAGAGAATGCTGCTTAAGCCACCTTTGCTGCAGTACACTGGTGCCCAGTAGAAAAGCTTATTGAGATTTCGAAGGGGCTGTTAGCGCTATTCACGGGACACTGAACTTTTTGCTAGGTTACTCGTGCATTTGTATGCCGTATAATTCCGAGTACCAGTACAATAACTGACATCCAAATAAGCTCCTGGCAATCATATGGAGCTGTGTATCACATTTCTGCTTCATTAAAGGAAAAAAAAAACAACTAAATTCTGCACCAGTTTTTTTTTTTTTTTTTCACCACCCAACTCCTCGGTTTTACAAATCTTCCAAATTTTGAAGTCCTAAGCATGGAAGATTCTTATTTATATTCGCAGAGTCTGTCAAATTATTTGACAGGCACAGCAAAGGCTAATATGGACATCATTACTGTTTGCTCAGTGGGTTGGTTCAAAATACAACTTTCATCGAAATATCTGTGCTCATGTTCATACTGCACAATTTAGGTGATGTTGCATGGTTTATACGTATACTTTTTTTCAGAATGTAAGCCTTTTTATTTACACTGCTCCAAATTTGATATTTCATGGTAGAAAAAATATATGCATTTTTTTTTCTGTAACCTGCTCCAAATTTGGATTTTAGTGCTTCATAAGTATCATTTTGCTGCTCCTAAAATTGCCCCAAATTGTATTTTGGCTGTTGCACCCCTGTAGATTAGAGTGAACATTATTTTTGAGACCAGATTTGTATTAATGTGATGTGGTTGTCTCAAGCAATTGAGCATACCAGTCATTATACAAAAAATATTTGATTCCACTTGAATTCATGACTGCTGTACATTACTGGAAAGTACAGATGGATGTGGGAGAAAAATAGAACTGACATATGTGCTATCCAATTTTGTTCTCTTGTGTGTTATGATATTTATTTTTGCTAGCACTGCTGGTGCCACATTTGCAGTACTTTTATTTTCAAAGTTTTACACTTCAAAGGATTAAACAAAACCGTTTCAGCAATGCCTTGCCATTAAAATTCTATATTAAAGCATTCAAGACACGCTGCTAGAAGCGACTGATTGCTATATGCTACCATAAGAAAAGTATATTTGAAGGTGTATGGTCTCTTTTTTCTATGTTTTCCTGGTCTAATCTGGGCTCACTTTAATGCCATTGTCTTTCATGGCAGATTCGAGATATGCACATGAGAAGTTACCACGGTTGTTTTCTACAGTGTTACAGGAAAGAATGTTTGAAAGTGCTTTTTGGTCCATAAAGGGGTGCAACTTGAGGTGGAAGGCCATTTCAGTTTGTTGCCTAACGGGAAAGGCCAATTCGCACGATCCCCTACGTCCAAGACAACTTCAAGGCCATCCTCTTCGTCTTACCGTCACCCGAAAGCTATCTGCATCTAACTAGGTTTGCACTGTCTTCAAGATTGGAGGCATTGTGAGCCTTGCGCGATTTTTCATGCTCTGCAGCCCACCTTTGACCATATGACATTTTCGATGTTGTGCTAGGGTGAAGTAATTTGTAATCACCTGATACTTTTTAGACTATTTCGTGTGGACACATTTCATGAGGCATCTAAAGTTTTCCTTAAAGGGACCCTGAAACAGTTTTCTGAAGTTTTGTCAATATTCAGGCTCGAGCACCATCGAATCATTTTCACCGTAAATTTAACTACACGCTGTGTATTACGTCTGCTACAGACAATTATATCTATACCTTCCTCCTTATCCCTGCCTTGCCTCCTCAACTCATGAGTCGTGCTGGTATCCCTGGCAATTGCAGCGCTGTCGTGAGTGCACTTGACGGCTTAAGCTTTGCCCAGTCATGGGCTTCGAGATTGTCTACCGACAGGCTGCCCACAATATCTGATGCCGAAACCCAGTGTGTCCGGCGGCATGCACGCCGTATGGCAAAAGAGATGAATATCACGGAGTGGTTGATATCTGCTCCGGCAGGTGCCACTGCACTATCTGCTGATGTTATTTGATTTTCAAGTGCGGCGAAAACCTGCAAAGGCATGCAAACAAACAAAAGGAATTCGAGAACATTCACCGACAAGCATTAACTCGAGAATTGTGGCTGTGTTTTCAGAGTTGAAGTTACAGCCGCAGACACATGCATGGTAGCGTTGACTAGACAGCGACAGTGCGAATGCTCATTCCAGCAACGAGCTGAAGTACTCCCGGTCTACAAGTGCCGACAAAAATTTCACGATGTTGAAGTTTTAAGAGTCCCCGATTGCTAGATATGTGGTACATAATACAGCTAGGGCAATTCGCTGGGTCCAAGAAAAGAAAAAAAAAAAAACACTAGAGATACGCACTGTGGCTCAGCTCACATCAACACGGAGCTCGTAATACAAGCAGTCGATGCTCGCTGCCCACAGGAGAGTTTGTGGCATAGACTGAGATATCCAATAAGATAGGTCATCGGGTGCTATGTGTACTGGAACATTTCTACTCATGTAAAAGGTGCAAGAAGTTGAAAACTTGTTCGGCTCGGCCACTGTAAACTGCCGTGATAAGATGTTTAAATTCATCCAATAAATTACACAGTTGACGCAAAGAGTTTAAATCGGTCTACGAATGATCCTTAGGACTTGCTTTACCCATGCAATGCGTCTATATGTAACCGTCAAAACTGTTTCAGGGTCCCTTTAACAGATGAAAAGGCTGCTGTACAGGTGTTTGGGTAAACGCTATCTATTGAACGGCATGTGTAATTAGTCTGGCAGATGTTTATGTAATGATAATTGTTGTTGGTCATTGTCCAAATGTTAATATCATATTTACACAATTGTAGGTCGACTCATTTTGTATTAACTTGAAATGAAATGTTGGAGGGGTCGACCTAAAATTGAAAACGAATTTCGATTGTGAAGCCTTTCGCAAAATGATCTCCGCCTATTTTTGAAAGCTAGCTTTTCCGCACAGCTTTTAAGTACTGTCATGAAGCAATTTTTGCACATTAGTGGTTTCACGATGTGCCAAAAAAAATGTTTTAATTAAAATTTGCTCGTGCTCCTTCTTTTTTTTATGTTGTGCCATTTTCGGTGGTTGACCTACATTCAAGCTGACTTATAATCGTGTAAATATGGTACATTATTTTACCCTGAAAGCTTTTCTTTGATTGTGACTTATTTTTTTAATGTGCCTTGAGCTAAATTTTTCTGCTTTTTAACTTAAAACCTATGCACACCACTATATAATTGGTGGGGGGGGGGCATATCGTTGCTGAACATTGTGTCACAGGTTAACGTTCTGCAAATGTGGATATAAATTAGCCCAATTGTAATTGATTGATATGTGGGGTGTAACGTCCCAAAACCACTATTTGTATATGAGAGATGCCGTAGTGGAGGGGTCCAGAAATTTTGACCACCTGGGGTTCTTTAACGTGGACACAAATCTGAGCACACGGACCTACAACATTTCCGCCTCCACCCAATTGAAATGAACAAGGGCTTGTTTGCTGAAGTTTAGCTTATTCCTGCAGGGGCTTTCTCAGAGATATCAATGCTCACAAGTCAGCTGTTTGCTTTTGCATTTAACGGCACAGGCTGACATTCTAAACAAGGCAGGGCATTTCATCAAACCTTGGTCATATGCACTGGCTGTCACAATTGTGCAGGTACCTCACCAAGAGCGACGAGAGAAGCCAGCTCGTGTCCGTGAACGTGCCATGCAGGAGCTGCTCGAGGAGAATGCCAAGTACACACTGCTTCCAGACAGTGATGATGAAGCACCATCTACAACAGCCAAGAAGGTGTGTGCTTGTTTGCTCCACAGTGCAAGAAATTGAGAAGCTAGTTGCTGGGAAAAGGGGGGCACAAAAACTCAAAATATATCTGCAGTATAACGAAAAACAACCCGTCTTGTGTTGCATAGGTGTGTGCACTTTTATAACTGAAGTGCTGTTCAATATGTGTGCTCTACATTCTTAAAAGCCGTCAAGCTGTGCTTTTCTTCAGCATGCACATGAGGGTTTCATATCTGAACTCGTTAGCTTTAGTTGCCTGCTGTCAGGACTGACGAATACCGTAATACAAGAGTATCGCGGTAGTGTTTCCAGAGGTACTTTAGAGTATGTGTATTTTGTGGACCGAGACACAGTTGAAGAATGTATTTGTATTTCAGTAACAAAATACTTTTACAGTGTATTTATTGTATTGCGATGCAATGCAGGACACTGGTATCAAGTTAAATTTTGTTTTGCCGCAAATAAGCTTGTTTCCTGAAGGGCACTGCGGCTTCTTTCTTTGTGCCAGTACAAGTAGAGCTGTGCCACCAGTCAGCGACACGAGAAGGACCGCAATGGTTTCCCCTAAAGCGCAGAATGACTCATGCAGCAAGTGAACAATGCCACTGACGACAGAATCGCGGAGGCAGTGTTCTCATCTTCTGTCAACGAAAGTCATTGTGCGGCATGCATAATGTCTTTCACAGGCCAGTCCAGTATTAGCATGCATTCATTTCTCAAAGTGGCGGCACTTCCATAGTCACTTCCAGTAGTTGTGACGCGTACCTAGTTGATTTGCAAGCATTGAACCATCTTCTGTGGTACCAGGCTCTCCAACCGCCGGATCCAGCTTAGCCTGTTCTGGCTTGCTGAAGTGTGCGTTTGTAGCAGTGGTGGTGGTGGGGACAGCTTTATTGAAGAGTGACCCTTTTGGCTCACGCAACAAGTGCTTTCTGTAGTGTCTGGTCGGGTGCTCTCAGCTGCTGTTCGTGTTTCTACGTCTGTTTAGAGAGTTGGCAGGAGTGACCTTGAAGGGCCTAAACCATCTTACCCTCAAAAAACGGGGTTCAAGAAGCCGTTGTTTAAAATGTGCAATTTTAGCATAGTGGGCCCCACTGCAAATAGGTACAATAAAACCTCATTAATTCAAACTCGGTCACTTCAAAATCCAGTGTATAAGTAAATAATTTAAAGTGGCGCTCGGCACCAGTCCAGTTAATTCGGAAACTTCGGGTGCCATGGCCCTATTCAAGATGCGGATTTTGTCCCAATCCACAGAAATGACGGCCTTTAAAAGCCATAAGGCAATGCAAAGTAGCGATACTGATGAGTGGCAGCTGACAAGCACCCCAGCCCCACGACTTCCAGCACAAAAAAAAGGGGTGTCTCGTGGTCAACCAATACGTGCGCCTGCGGAAAACAAGGCGTGCTTCACTGCAGTACAGCAGTGACGCGCGAGCAGCATATTACTCGTTTTTCGCTACATCAACGCTGCATGATTTAACCATTCTTTCTGCGATTCTAAAGAAGTTTAACAAAGGACAGTTAGGTGGAACTCGCTATGTATGCAAACCTTCGATTGCCGGTGCATCCAATAATTTGTGCACTTGCACCAATGGTGGAGTTCCTGCCTGCAATGCCTACTTCGAAAACTAAGTTTGAGAGCTTCAATGATCATGTTTTCCAGCCAAAACATATAGCGAATTTTGTCACACTGGCCATTATTAAATTCCTTTTTTTTACTAGAAAGAATGGGTGAATGGTTTCATCATGATGTGCCGACGCAGCGGGGAGCAGGCGACATGCTGCTCGCATGCCATTACTGTGAAACATCTTCTTTTCTGCAGGTGCACGTTTCAGTTGATCACGAATGCATTATTTTTTTTCTTTTCTCCCTGTGGTAGCAGCGAGACCCACCATTACTCCGTGTTTTCGGCAAAAATTAAGACCAAGTATTGCGGGAAAACCTTGGAGCCGCAAACTAGCCGGCACAGCAAATGATGAGCCCTAATTACTTCAAATAATTGCAAGTTTTTTCCCTCCCATTTTTAGTATGCTCTGTTAATTTGAAAACCCGCTTTATTCGAAGATTTCTCGCGGCTCCAGTGACTTCCAATTAACAAGGTTTCACTGTAATTATGGCCTGCAGCTAATATGGGCAAGGGAATCCTCGGCCTTCTCAGGTGCAACACCAACCAGACCAGACATCTGAGGATTCCACAAAAGGGCGAGTGGCATTGGCTTCTCAACGACACGAACAGACCCATGTGAGGGTGGAAATCTTTCGTTACCTAGGTGACCCCAGAAAAGATATTGTCACACTGCAAGATTATCTAGCTATGACGGCAGTGTTTATTCATTATAGCACGAAGTTTAGCTAGTCTGCACAGCATACAGGCTTTTTTTGCAAGTGTTGTGTTGACGCCGAACTGATGCTGTCTAGAAGACAGCATATTTGAGAAATTCCTGTTGCTTTATTGCAATTAACACAACAACATTCTTGGCAAAACAGATCTTATGTGCAAAGTGCAGGGAGGGCGGAAGTGCTGCGCCAATCTTATCTGCTGCACCAGGCTGCACATAAACGGCAATTCCCGTGAGAATCGGCGATTGGAAGTGCAAACCGCCAAATCTTGCCGATTATTATTGTCGACCGAGCAGCACGGAGCGTCTGCTACGCAAAGCAAGCGGCCACATCCATATCCAGTGTTGCTCAATCATGTCATTCGGTTCGTTCATAAGGCTTGCTAGTGCTCGTCTCATCGCTGTTATCGCCGTGAATTTCGCGCAAAAGTGGCGGCACCAGCATGAGTAACTGGGCAAGGGCATTTTTTGATGGGCCATAACTGCAAGCTAAACATTATATTGCAACATGTTTTTATTGATTTTGGAAGCTAATATGCAGTAGGATAAGTGGGCAAAGTTTAAAAGTTATCAAGAATGTTTTTTTTTAATTGTTGTAAGAAGTTTCCCTTGCCTGCTCTTTTCTTGAAGTTGGCGTGATTATATTTCTTTTTGAAAAGTGATAATAATATAAGCTTTGGCAGTTTTATAAATATGGATGTGGAAGAAGTGATGTGGAATTTTCACTGGCATGCCATAGGTGCTTTGTGAAATAAAGGCCTGTGAACTAAGCAAGATAACGTTATTAGCTCAAATTTGAGAATTTGTATGAACAAATATGTATTATACAGACAATCAAAATATAATTGAAAGTAAGCCCCAGTACGCCTGTATGTAGGCAAACAAATTTGAGGCACGTAACTTTAATATATTTTGTATAATTCATCGCCTAAATTGAAAAAAAGCAGCATAGCATGTACGCGTGGCACTCAATCTCTCCATCATTATTGATTTACTCTCCTTCGAAAAATTTTTTTACAGCAAAACCCATTGCGGATCTCTTTTCTACACTGATCAGGCAACTATATATAAAATCTTGAAAGAAATTTAAGAGGTCAACCAGCCATGCTTTGTTCAATCTTACGTGAAATCACCTCACTATTGTTTCATAGCGCGCAGTAGCGGTGCCAAGGAGCACTTTGAACAGAGTCCGGTATACGCAGCGATTGAGATAGTGACAGCACGGACACTATCGGCTTTCCGCGATACATGTGCGCGCTTCCCTACCACGATCGGAGACTAAACGAACTGACAGTTTCATTTAAACACGGAGCGATCACGTGTGTGTCCTCGGGGAGGGGGGGGGGGGGGAGGGGGATAAATGTCTTTGTAGAGGAGTATGAGCATCTCCTGAAATAAAAGTGTTCCAGTATCTAGAACTAAGATAAAAGAACATCACCAACTAGCCCCGCAGTGTACTTTGTCCAGTATCTGTGTGTGCTTCGGAATCCTTTTTTTGTCCTTTTGAAAATGGGCCTCAGTGTCTGCTTCGAACCCGTGTACCCATTTCAGTATTCTACAATACTTTTTCAAGTATCTCAGCCCAGCCCTTTACCCTGTCTATGCCAACAGAATTCGACAGATTCTTGTTTTGCCTTTCTACAGGGGCTACCGAACAAATTGAAGAAGTTCACTTTTCTACTATGGTTTATTTCAACACTTTTTTATTATGGGTGCAACTAGGAGTGTTGTGATTGACTAGTGTTTTTATACCGTGTTTAGGGACTTAATGCATAGAAGTGTGTGTGTGCCATAACACTCAGTAATGGCGTGCTGTCTTTATGGGGCTGATGAGACTAGTATATTGTCACGCAGCAAAGGACGACGCAGTTGTCTATAAGGAAAACAAGTTTATTGGAGCGAACTTGTGCTCCCCTAACAACTGAAAGAATACACAGGCGGCGATGCAGCGGTCGGCAAAACGACGTGCACGCTAGTGAGCGTCGGCGATCGAATGTCGCGGCATCGGCTGTGCGGGAATTTATATCCCTCGGCGCGAGAGTTTCTCTAATAGTCGAATTGTATCGAGAACGCTGTGATAGCGTTTGTTCGAAACGCTGTTTGTTCGGAACGCTCGAAACGTTGTTCAATAGCGTTTGTTCGAAACGCTGTGATAGCGTTTGTTCGAAATGCTGTGAAAACAGTGATAGCACAGGCCGGCGCAGCCAGGCCGAAAAAACAAAACACAAATAAACAAACCCAATGCATGGTTCGCGGCATTACCCCCCCTCTAAGAGTGCATCGACCCGATGCTAACATAAGGGACAGTCCAAACGAATTAAAATAAAAGTTCGTCATCGTCCCTAGAAAGGTTTTAAGCGAACCACATGGACGACTTCGGGCCACGTGCGTCGTCGTGATGTACGAGAGTCACCATCGGGGATCACTTCGTACGTTAGTTCGCCAACACGTCGTAGAATCCGGTAGGGTCCGAAATAGCGTCGTAGAAGTTTCTTACTGAGTCCACGTCGTCGAATGGGAGTCCAAACCCACACACGATCTCCAGGATGGTACTCGGCGTCTCGGCGTCGGAGATTGTAGCGTCCGGCATCCACCAGTTGCTGGTCCGTTATACGAACTCGAGCGAGCTGGCGGGCCTCCTCCGCACGTTGGAGGTATCCTTG